TGTCCTATTAGACCACACCCCATAATGAGAGTTAAACCTCATCACCAATATCCTCATGTTGATGATCACCTGCAACATAATAAAAATGCACATAGAGCAACAAGGGAGTAAGAAACATCTCACCCTGGTTCAAATGTAGAAATAAATGTTAGGCAACACACACACAATCATAACAAATACCACACAAGTTACACATATCCAAGCACAACTCTTAAGTTATAGATACATCATAACACATACATTCACTTATCATGCAAAATTCATAAATGTATGCATGTGGCGCCATACGAAAGTTGCACATTTCTCATCATTAGTATGCTGCTACAGCAACATACCTGAGGACGCTTTCATTCATTAATACATCACTAGTGATCAAAGGTACACCTGGAATAGCTCAATATATCACTGGTGACCTAAGGTACACCTGAAATAGCTCAATACATCACTAGCATGCGGCCTTAGCAACACACCTGCAATAGCTCAATACATCACTAGTGACCCAAGGTACACTTGAAATAGCTCAATACATCACTGGCATGCAGCCTAAGTGGCACACTTAGAATAACTAAATACATCACTAGTGACTCAAGATACACCTGGAATAGCTCAATACATTATTGGCATGCAGCCTAAGCGGCACACTTGGAGTCATATATGCACATGATGCATGTCACACATTCACTATTTTATTGACTCAACATTTCACTTATAATGTCTCATCATATCCCATGACACATTATCTCATAATATCATATCATAATATCATATCACAGATCGCATGTTCACTTTTCACGTCATATTCACATAGTCTCATACAAGGAACTTCTCACAGTCATATACATCAAAATAGTACATAAATCATACCAAGAAATTATCCAACATCATACCCATTCAATTCGCAATTCATAACATATGAAGCATAAAGGCCATAGATTCAACTTCATGATTTCACGCATTTTCTACAATCAACCTGTTAATATAATATTTCAATTGGTCAAAACACTTCAAATATTATCCAAAACATGAATCCATCATCAATTTTACATATAATGCCTCAAAATTCATCTAAAGATCATATCTCTAATTTCACTTCATAGGGTTTCTCACAAGAATTCACAGAGCACTCTAATTCATATCAAAACTTGTCTATTTTTGAAATTAAACACATATTCACACTCAGCAAACATCAAGAAACACAACAGAAAACTCAGAAGCCAAAATAGAAAAAATTCAAAATTTGTCTGTTTAAGCTTACATCAGGCAAAGGATTGGGGGCCAATCCGACTACCCACATATATTCCCACACCCCCAAGTGAGGTCTCTCACTCCCCCTTACCTTGATGAGTAGAAGACAAAGCGTGTATGATTCTCCAGTGACCTCCTCCTCATGCTTCTCTTGAGTCCTCAAAGCACATGCGTAGAAAAAAAGGAGAAAGTGAAAAGCGTGAAAATAACTCTTGACAACCTCCTTTCTTAAAAATAATAAAAATGAATAATAGTAATAATAATAATAATAATAATATTTAACAAAAGACCACTACGTCCCTCCTTCCCTTATCATAAAATAATTAAAATAATTAAACATATTTCCTCTTTTTAAAAAATAACATAAATATAATTCTTGATAAAAACATATTTTCATAAAAATAGTCTTATAGCAAATAATCCAAATATTAATTAAAAATCATATTTTATATTAAAATAGAGCTCATATAATTATTTAAACAATATCAAAACTCTACTATATTAAATATCAAAATAATTTCAAAATATTATTTATATAAAGTATGAAAAATCGAGATGTTACAATTCTCACACCCCAAGTGAAGTTTCTCCCTCCCTCCTTACCTTCATGAGCAGAAGATGAGGCACGAGTGGAATCCGATTGTTCTTCTTTTCTAGGTTCTCCTTGTTTTTTAGAAGGCGTAAGAAGTAAATGAGCAAAAAAGTGAATACGCGTGAAAAATGACTTTGTAACTTTTGATAACTTTCCTTAACTCCCTTTTCTCAATTAATAAAATAAATAATAATAATAAATTAGCAAAAGACTACTACATCCTCCCTTCCCTTCTCATAAAATAATATAATTAAAACACCTTTCCTCCTTTTTAATAAATAACATGAGCATAATATTTCATAAATACATTTCATAAAAATACATTCTATATCACTAATGAAAATAATAATTACAAATTCATTAAAATATCAAAATAATTAAATGATACCAAAGATCCTTAATAAATTCATTAAAATACCGAAATAATTTCTAAAATATTATTATTATAAAGTTTGAAAATCGGGGTATTACAATGGTTGCTTAACCCATGATAGGTGGGTGCACCAATACATTTGAATTCAAATTCAAATGTGCAACCTAAAGCAAGACTATGTGCTCCCATGTGTTCTAGATCTTAATGTGGTAACTAAATCAAGACATGTGACTAAATGGAGTTGGCTAGCCTAAGGTGAGGTGTATGTATGGAAACCATGGTGGTCATCCAACTAGTGTGGGTAGGCAAGTTATTAGGCACAAGAACCAACCCATTTAATTACATGTGCTACTTACTAGTTGCACTCCTTATTCTACTAATTACACCCCAAATAAGAAATGCAAGGAAATAATATTCTATTGACCCAATATATAAGGTTAAAATAAAATACAATATTACAAAGAAATATTTACAAGTAAAAGGAAATGGACTAAAAGACAACCTAAGCTCAATAATGAGCTTGGGCCTTCTACTTTCAAACTTAACCCACTCCTCTTGATTTCTTTTAAATTGGACCCCTAAGCATGATTCCATCACGTGTCTCCATCCTCATAAATTTTAATTATTTATGATTGTTTATTTTTTTTTAGAATATACTTAACATTTATGTAATTCTTACTCTATTTTGAATTTATGTTAGATAAAACTTAATTAATGTATTTTTGTATTTACCATTTTATGTTGGAATTTGTCTTTTTTATTTATATTTTTCAAAATAATATTTAACTAATTTTGGGCAAGTGTTAGACGAAGACGAGGATGAAATACAAATTCCACACCCTCTGAGTATTAGGGATGATGATGAGTATAAGGTACAAACTCAAGGATGGATATGAGAATATTGAAAAACTTGTCCTATCCTATCTTATTGCCATCCTTATGCACCACAAGCTAACTCACTCTGTAAATCTTTCACACCTCTTGTAATCACTTTTGATGAATTATTGAATGAAAAATTCATTTTCAAAAACTTTTGTTTCTCTTTATTTATTTTTCTCATTTCTTCTAAATTTTTTTACCACTTCACCCGAAAATTCACATTCACTGATTATAATAAAAATCTTTGTAGTTTTTTTTTTTTTTTAAATGGCATATCCGCTTTATTGAAATTTTCTCTATTACCTCTGTACGTAACATTTTCTCCCTATTTCAGTTACTATTGTATGACTTATTGTTTTTACTCGTCATATAATTTTCATTAATGAAATCAATATTTAAATACTTAAGTCTTTTTTATCGTTTTTATTTTTTTAATCATGATTTTATATAATATATGGAATTAATTTTTAATCTTTAAATTTATTATTCTTAATTTTTAATCATACTTATATATATAATTGATTTATCATTTTATTATTAATTTAATTTTTTATAAACTAAAATTAGATGAATGATGAGTAGTAGTTTTTATTATTTTTAATATTATTATGATATATAATGACATTTTTCAAAATTATGTAGTTACTTTTTTAATTTTTTTTTTCTAGTAAAGATCTAATATGTATTTTTTTTTTTAATCTTTAAAAGGAGATAATATCTTATAAGTGCTTAAATAATAATATATCCAAACATTTTAAAATTGTTAAGTGATTATCAATGTATATATCTAAATGTTATAACTTATTAAATTTTAAGCACTTATAACATAAGAGATTAATTTTATATAAACGGGACCTGGATGATTTTTTTTTTAAAATGATTTTTTAAAACTAATTTTTTGTTGTAGAAAAATTATAACTGATTTTTAAAAATTAAAAACTAGTTGCTTATGAAAATTTTGAAACTTAGAGCTAACACCATCTTAATATCTCTTAATATATCAACAAGTCGTTGGTTTGAATGGTACTGAAGTAAGGTTTCAAGTTCAAATTTTGTAAAAAAAAAATGTAATAGAAAAGGAAAATCTTAATAAAAGTGACCCTTTAGCTTCCTCGACAGAAATTTAAAAAAATTGTGGTTAAAATTGAATATTTTAAGAAACATGATCAACTAGGTTCTCTGACAATAAATATTTTATATTAATAACATGTTTAAAAAAATATTAATATTAATATTATTAATTAATCTAAATTACTTTAAATATAATTTTAAAATAATTATTATAAAATTAAACAATTTTACCGTAATTACATTACAATATAAAATACTTTTACACCTCAGTACATTTTGATTAAATTCTTGAACTTTAACAATCAACCTGTAAATTGTACTTTGTGCTGTGAACTCCTACATTTAAAAAATATTTTTTTTTTCTCTTATATTGTTACATGTAATATAACTTGAGTGGCCATAAAAAGAAAAATATATATATTTATGGATTTAACCTTATTGGTCACGTGGTGGAGGAGCCAATGTTGACTAGTGACTACTGTCAAATTCAATTGAAATGATAATTACTGAATGGCTTTGGACTATTTGGTGAGACAGTTGTTTGTGAGCATGCTTACGGATCAGTACACTGACTACACAAATAATGTCACATATTGAAGATAGAAGTAAATTAGACCACATATGTGTACATGATTGTGTTATTAGCTGGAGGGAGATTCCGTGTGCGGATTTCGAGCTGTAATTCACACCCTTCCCTCTGTTTTCCTATATTTCACATCTCATCTCCCTTGATATTCATCACTTTATCCATGATTAATCTTTATTTGATTATTCACTTTTTATTTATAAGACTCAAATTTAATATTTTATTTAATAAGAGCCTATAAATATCTAAAGTGTCCAATTTGTTTCTTCCACATTTCTTCTTCTTTCTTCTTTCCCATTCCCCTATTACAGGCCATTGTCCTAATGTGGACATGGAATTCAGCACCATCTTCTACATGTATGTTGCTTTTCTCCTCATTGTTCTCTCCAACTCGTTGCTCACATCCTTCACTTCCGATCACTAGGAATAGCCACTCCCTCCCTGTTTCCATTGGTTGGTCTTACATTGGAGAAACCTTTTCAATGTGTTCTCAACACCCAAGCAATCTTCTTTTTCACACAAATGAAAAGGGTCATGTTAATGCTTTCACTTATCAACATATAATGCTATTCCTTTAAAAAAGTTGCTAGCAAGTAGTTCATTTGATGCTCCTTTGCTTATTCATTGATATCTAAAACAGAAAAATGGTATGTACTTGGATTGTTTGGTAATTTTTTTTGTGTGGTCATCACATGAACTAGTTGAGAGATTGGGGAGGTGCATGATGAAATGGAAAATGAAAATTTGATATGTAGCCCTTTTTTGTGAGAAAGAAAATGTTTGGGTCTTGAGAATACATTTGAAAGGTTTCTCCTATGTAAGGCCTACCCATGAAATCAGGAGGGAGCAGCTGATCCTGGTGTTTGCAGGGGAAAGATTGGAGCAGTTACTTTAATAGAATAATGAAGAGAGAAGTAGCAAAAAAGCAAAACATGGTGCTTAGGTTCATTACAATATTTAGTGTTCGTGGCTTGTAATAGGTGAATAGGGAAGAAAATGAAGCAAAACTGATGATCAGTGAAGTAAAGCTAGCAAAATTACACTAGTATAACAGCAAAAACTCCACTCTCTGAATGCAGAAGATTCATGAAGGAATCTTTGGCAAGGGTGTGAATCTGGATGAGAGAAAACCTCATTTACTTAAGGTTAGCCCAAATATCTTACTTTTCATCACAATTTGATCATTTATTACTTACAAACATTTTTGGTTATTCTGTTTCCTATTTTTATGATCATAAAATAGTATATCTTTTCCACAATAGTGGGAAATATTCCAGGAGCATACAAGCACCTTGCCCTGATTATGCCATGTCTTGTTTGTCATATACATCACCCAAAGCGTTGAGAGCTGATGTACCAATAGTTTTTTACTTTTTTAAGAACAGTAGAAGAAAAATTGATATCACAGAACAATTCCATCAGTTATGTATTATTTTTCTAGTGCTTCCAAAAACATGAAGATAAATTATAATTTATGCCACTATTGAAGGCTGCACTAAATTCATTTTGCAGGTTGTTATTTGAGTTGGCAACTTGGTCCCATTAATATGCTTCACTGATCTCTATTAATTCTCTCCAAAGTCTGCCTCATGTCTTCCATCCCAGGAAAGAGTTAAGGAAAGTTCATCTAATCTTTGAATTTCAGTGAAGTAAAGCAAGAGTATCTTAAGCATTGAGCAAAACAAGAGTATTAAGAACCAGGGAGTTGTGGTGTTACTTTCAACAGTGCTTCATCAGTAACCTCATTTTCCAAAGGCGGAGAAAGTATATTTGGCTTGCAAGAAAACTCGTTTGACAAGAAGATACTTATAATTCTAATTCTAATTCAACTTTTTATTTTCATCTTGGAAGAATGATAGCCAGAACCAAGAAAGTGTTCTATTAAAATTGGTAAGAAATTGGGTATGCCTGACTAGTAAAACATCCCATAGAAGTTCAAATGTTTACATTATACCAATTTTCACAAAAAAAGAAAGAAAAAGAAAAAGAAAGAGAGGATAAACTTATTTAGGGTATGTTTGGTTTCACATCAATCATGTCTAGAATCAATTCTATAACATCCAAAATGACCAGAATTACATTTACTAAATGTTTGGTTAATAACAAAATTGATTTCAAGATGTGAAAATTGATACTCACTTGGAAGCAAATGTTAGTACTCTCCATCAAACAAAATTAATTTTAGGGTTTTATTTGTCTAGTTTTATAATTACTCACTCAAAATCAATTTTAGTAACAAGTTTTTAAACAATACTTAATATGACAATTAAATCTATATCCTTTGTAGTCCAAACAAAAATACATTACTTATTCCTCACGTTTAATTAAAATTTTACAAATTAACATCGATTCAAAATTAATAATATTGATACATATCCAAACTCACACTTAATCAATCGATTGTCCAAAGGGACAATGTTGTTATTTAAAAATGAGACATAATATTTAACCGCTCAACACATTTTCTTTCAAGTAAAACAAGTTTATGTTTTATGCAAACCTCTTGTAAATCTGTAATTTTATGCATTACATATTATTCCCTACTTATATATATTATTTTAGTCATTTTATTAGTAAAATCCCAACATATCTTTTAAAACAATTTCAAATTTTAATAGTTCTGCTTCATGGATTTGTCATAAAAGCAGATGGGACTGGAACCCAACTTTTTCCATTCTGTCATTTTTTTGTCTTTCATCAATAATAACACAACAGATGTGCTCTGAATTGAGGACGAATTTAACAGACTGATTTCTTGTTCAAGGACACCCTCATATGAAAAATCTGTTAAATGGGTAGTAAAAATCTTAATGTAAGATTTATATGATTCATTTGATTGAGAGTTCCAGACTCTAATGGAAAACCTTTCAAATAGAGGTGCTTGTATAGTAATTAATGCACTGGTATGAATCATAATGATAACATGTTAAAGAAAGAACTTTGGATACATACATGAATTGGCAAGGTGAAAAAGCACACTGTTCACAAAAGAGACAAACTGTTCTTTTTGCATCTTCTTCCCATAACCAAACAAACAATCTTTAAATTGTGCATCATTGATATTGATGTGTGTCCAAACTTCGATCCACATTGTTCCTACAGTACAAGATGTGACCAACAGTTTTGGTTGCATTATTTGAACCCATGATTATTAGGAAAAGTACTTGATACACGGTATGCGACAATGTTCAATAATTAAATAGAAGACCATACAATTTGAAGGAGATGAACAAGGAATTAATGACTCCCCTTAACGTAGAAACTTGAAAGCCTAAAGCATCCCTTAAAATTTACATTTTTTTGGACTCGAGAAAAATGGAAACGTTGAGTTCCACATTATTCATTACCCTTTTCTATTACTAGCGTAAGAGTGCTATGTGAATTATTTTAAAAAATAATAAATAATAAAAAATATATAATAATGAATAATTATTAAAAATTTAGGCTCTTATAAAGTGAAATTTATAAGAAATAATAAGAAATTTGTAATTTGTAAAATAGTAGTTATAGAGATAAAAATGGACAAACATTGTGTACACCAACAACTTCAATTCTCTTTATTATGGATAATATGTAATGGGATTTCTCATTTTTGTCTATAGATTTTGCTGAACACTTTTATCTTTTTTTTTTTATTAAGTAACTTTTAAGAAATTAACCACTCACTCCCTCTTTTTTTTTTTTTCTTTTTTTTTCATTTAATCTCCTTCCTCCCTTTCTCTCCATGGGTTAAGTGTACAACGGGCGATATAGAAATTTGATTGTGTTTGGGTCATGCACGTAAGGTGTTTGTGAAAAAAGCCTTAAACAAATTTTTGCCAAGCTTAGGCACTAAGAGAGCAAAAACAATGTGTGGTGTGATTAACCTTTTAGGCAGTCATACCATACAGGGACCCAAAAAAATCAGTTAAGATTAGTTTAGGTTATATGCTTAGTTTAATTAGTTTGAGCTAAGTTTAATTTAATTGTTATTTGGTTATTGTGGTTAGTTTAAACTAATTTAGATATAAGTAAATTTCATACTTGGTTAGTTCAGTGTATTAGTATTAGTTTGGTAAGTTTAGTGTATTAGTATTATACTATAAGTAAGTGTAGTTATTAGTTATGAAATTAGTTTAGTTAGACGAGGTATGTTTGGCTCCTTTTTTTTAACTTTTTTTTTTTAAGTAAAAGTCGGGTCAAATACTTTTTATAAAAATAAAATAAAAAAAGCTCGAAAAAAATAAAACTGCTTATTTTAATAGAATAAATTTTGAAAACAAGTAACTTTTGGTTAAGTTGGTAGGATGAACTTTTTTTATGGCTTATTTATATAGTCTCTGTAACCTAATAAGACCAAAAATATCATATTTGGTTTTTGGACTAATTTTGATATTTGTCTGCTTCAAGACATCTCATTAAGTAGTTATCACATATATTAATTTATTCCACATTATAATTATTTCTTGTATCGTCTTAATTTGTTTTAAATATTTTTAAAATATTATTTTTATTTTTTATTACATGCAATAAAATAATATTATTAAAATGTGTAAATACAATATAATGATATATAAAAAGTGTTATATAAATATAATATATCTAAATATAAATTTATTTGACATATATTTATACACAAATAAAATAATATTTTTGAATGATATTCAATAATATATATTATGTATCATTACAATTTATATTTATATTTTTTAATAATATATGAATATATATGTTATATCTATAATATAGATAAAAAAATTATAATAATAAAAATATAAAATTTATGTCATTATAAAACATAGACTACATCTACGTAGATATTATGTTAATATAAATAATGTTAATATAAAATATATGAAAGTTAAAATGATTAATTTTCTACGTAGACTACATCTACATCAGCTATGAATTGATGTAGAAGATGCAAAATAACTAACGTATTGGTGAAACTAATCCCACAATATTTGTTTTAAACGATCAATTACCTAAATTGATTGAGCAAGTATTTGTTTTATCCCTTTTTGGTAATAAATAAAAGAAAAGTAAGAAATATTAATTTTTACTTGTCAAGTCACTAGTGAAAAAAAGGCTTTTAAAATTGGTTATTTTCAACTTTTAAAATCGGTTCTGTAACCGATTTTAAAAGTACCGATTTTAAAAGTTATACTTTTAAAATCGGTTAAATAACTGATTTTAAAAGTTAACTTTTAAGATCGATTGTTTTATAACCGATCTTAAAAATTCGAGCTGCGAAAAAAATTAAACTGGAATGGGCCGTTCCAGGTTGTTAAAAAGGCCTAAAAAGATAGTGTGGAACGGGCTGTTCTAGCATAGTTTGACATAAGTTTAACCAATCTAGAATGGACATCAGAACGACCCGTTCTCCTTGCAGTACGGGCGGTTCTCCATGAAGAACAGCCCATTCTCTATGAAGAACGAGTCGTTCTCCTTACAGAACGGGTTGTTCTCCTTACAGAACGGGTCGTTCCAGATTCAAAATTTACCCAAAATGAACCTACAACAAAAATAGAGACAAGAGAAGAGCATGAGAAAATGAAAAGAGACATAAGAAGAGCATGAGAAGACAAAAACCAAAACGAAAACCGGCTCCTTTTTTTTAACTTTTTTTTTTTAAGTAAAAGTCGGGTCAAATACTTTTTATAAAAATAAAATAAAAAAAGCTCGAAAAAAATAAAACTGCTTATTTTAATAGAATAAATTTTGAAAACAAGTAACTTTTGGTTAAGTTGGTAGGATGAACTTTTTTTATGGCTTATTTATATAGTCTCTGTAACCTAATAAGACCAAAAATATCATATTTGGTTTTTGGACTAATTTTGATATTTGTCTGCTTCAAGACATCTCATTAAGTAGTTATCACATATATTAATTTATTCCACATTATAATTATTTCTTGTATCGTCTTAATTTGTTTTAAATATTTTTAAAATATTATTTTTATTTTTTATTACATGCAATAAAATAATATTATTAAAATGTGTAAATACAATATAATGATATATAAAAAGTGTTATATAAATATAATATATCTAAATATAAATTTATTTGACATATATTTATACACAAATAAAATAATATTTTTGAATGATATTCAATAATATATATTATGTATCATTACAATTTATATTTATATTTTTTAATAATATATGAATATATATGTTATATCTATAATATAGATAAAAAAATTATAATAATAAAAATATAAAATTTATGTCATTATAAAACATAGACTACATCTACGTAGATATTATGTTAATATAAATAATGTTAATATAAAATATATGAAAGTTAAAATGATTAATTTTCTACGTAGACTACATCTACATCAGCTATGAATTGATGTAGAAGATGCAAAATAACTAACGTATTGGTGAAACTAATCCCACAATATTTGTTTTAAACGATCAATTACCTAAATTGATTGAGCAAGTATTTGTTTTATCCCTTTTTGGTAATAAATAAAAGAAAAGTAAGAAATATTAATTTTTACTTGTCAAGTCACTAGTGAAAAAAAGGCTTTTAAAATTGGTTATTTTCAACTTTTAAAATCGGTTCTGTAACCGATTTTAAAAGTACCGATTTTAAAAGTTATACTTTTAAAATCGGTTAAATAACTGATTTTAAAAGTTAACTTTTAAGATCGATTGTTTTATAACCGATCTTAAAAATTCGAGCTGCGAAAAAAATTAAACTGGAATGGGCCGTTCCAGGTTGTTAAAAAGGCCTAAAAAGATAGTGTGGAACGGGCTGTTCTAGCATAGTTTGACATAAGTTTAACCAATCTAGAATGGACATCAGAACGACCCGTTCTCCTTGCAGTACGGGCGGTTCTCCATGAAGAACAGCCCATTCTCTATGAAGAACGAGTCGTTCTCCTTACAGAACGGGTTGTTCTCCTTACAGAACGGGTCGTTCCAGATTCAAAATTTACCCAAAATGAACCTACAACAAAAATAGAGACAAGAGAAGAGCATGAGAAAATGAAAAGAGACATAAGAAGAGCATGAGAAGACAAAAACCAAAACGAAAACCACAATGAAATTTACCTTATTGGAGACTTTAGAAAATGAGAGCGTGAGAGTGTAAAAAAAGGAATGGAGGGAGAGATTAAAGAGAATGAGAATGAAGGAAAATATAAAAGGTTTCTGACGATACTTTTAAAATCGGTTATTTAAGAATCGATTTTGTATTCTACATACAAAATCGATTCTGAAATAACCGATTTTAAAAGTAGCACTTTTAAAATCGGTCATAAAATAACCAATCTTAAAAGTACTTTTAAGATCGGTTAATTTTAACCGATGTTAAAAGTACTTTTAAGATCGGTTAATTTTAACCGATCTTAAAAGTGTTTATATTATTTACAAAATTGTCACCGCATCACTTTTAAGATCAGTTACTAACCGATCTTAAAACTCCGATTTTAAATCTAATTTTTGCACTAGTGAATATAACCCACTATATCCTTCAACAATGCAATGGAAGACTTAATGACATACTTCCACAAAATAACAATGGGTTGGCTAATTTTAATTTTTTTTTTTTGAGATTTTATCAAACCAAATACAACAATATTTTTATATTTTAAAATAATTTTCCAATTTATGAAGAAAAATAAATAACACAAATGATCTTTACTAAACTGGTAAAAAAAAAAAGAAGACAAAATGACAAAAGATTGATAAGCTGACCTAGAATACGTCAATTCCTCGTATCTTTGGTTAATCTTTTTTGTTCATACATAT